ATATGAACCCTGGGGACTACAGAATGATCCACTGGAAGATCCGGAACATCCTTAAAAGTGGTCAATTCATGAAACTGATCCTGTAGCTCCGCGGATTTTTTGAAACCACTCATAGACGTTTTAACACAATAAATTCGGAGTTTTGTTCGGAAAATGTACTCTGGAGACCACGGGATGGAAGATCCGGAACACCCAGAAAGTGGTTAATTCATGAAACTGATCCTAAAACTCCGTGTTTTTTTTCGAAGCCGCCCATAGACGTCTTATCATAGATAATTCGGAGTTTTGACCGGAATGTGGAATCTAGGGACAACAAGATGGTCCACCGAAAGATCCGGAACATCCGTAAAAGTGGTCAATCCATGAGATCCTAGAGCTCCGCGGATTTTCCAAAAAACACTTATATACGTCTTATCAAAATGAATTCAGAGTTGTGACCTGAGTATGGACCCTGGGGACTACAGGATGGTTCAATAGCAGATCCGAAACATCCGCAAAAGTGGTCAATTCATTAAACTGATCCTAGAGCTCCATGTTTTTTTTTTCGAAACTGTTCATAGACGTCTTATTACAATTAATTCGGAGTTTTGACTGGAATTTGGACTCTCGGGACTACAGGAATGTTCACCGAAAGATCCGAAACATCAGAAAAAGTTGTCAATTCATGAGACTGATCCTAGAGCTCCGTAAATTTTGTGAAACCACTCATAAACGTTTTATCCGAATGAATTTGGAGTTGTGACCGGAATATGAACGCTTAGACGGAAATGGACCTTTGGGACCACGAGATGGTTCACCAGGAAGATCCTGAAAATCCATAAAAAAATTCAGTTCTCGAAATTGAGCTTAGAGGTCCGCTTTTTTTCGAATCCACTCACCGGCGTCTTATCAGAATTCATTTGGAGTTATGACCAAAAAATTGACCCTGGGGACCAATGCACAATCCCAAAGCCGTGTTAATGAAGACAAAAATGGAATGGAGCAAAATAGGATAATTTATTGGTCTGCAGTGTGAAATTATTTGTAGCTGATTTTCTTGACTATCTACCACATCATTCAGAGCATTTCACCAGCATTTTATGACACATGATCAGCAGTCGCATATAAAGCCAAAAAACTGTTAATTCCGCCTAAAATGGGGAGAAACCGGCAAAATGGGGTGCTTCCGGTAGTTTGCGCAAGACGAAACCAGCGGCATTCGATTTGCCAGATAAGAATAGGTATTTCAAGCCTCCAGATACCAGCCACACGAAATAAGTGCGGTTCTGGTTCAGCTTTTGTCCACTGTGCAATGCTCACAACCGTTTTAATTTCAAACGCAAAGTAGTTTAGATGTATAAAAAGAGAGAGAGAAAGATTAGAGTAATTTCCATTTAATTACACTACCTTATTTGTTTATCCTTGACAGATACGCGCATTTTGTCTACAATGTGCAGACTTCTTCAGTGCCTTGTACTAATACTCAGTCGAGTACAATACATCAATAGTACAATACACTGAAGAAGTCTGCACATTATAGACGAAATACGCGTATCTGTCAAGGATAAGCAAATAAGGTAGTGAAATTAAATGGAAATTACTAATATTTCTCTCTCTCTCTCTCTCTCTCTCTCTCTCTCTCTCACGATTTGGAGCATTCTGCACTTTGTACGTATGCAGTCCCTCCCGGTCCTTGGCTCTCTGAACGAAAGACTTGGCAGATTCAACTTTTTGGCCACATCCCTGACCGAATCATTGGAATTCCACTTAAACGCTTTCACGACACACACTAATCCAGCATTTAGTTGTTCGGTATTTTTTTGTACTGGGCTTACACCGTAAAACAAAAGATTTACTGAAAATTCAGTTTAAATCAGGTGAATAACCGACGTCCTGTAAAACACAAACTGAACTTCGGTATCGTTTGATGCAAAATACTGTACACAGAATATTTATTTACTGAGAAAGTCGTTAATTTCCAAATCTTCGTGATTTCACGAAAAGTCAGTAAAACTAATTACTGTGCACAAAGTAGTTTTTATTTTTTACCGACTGGTCAGCAAAATAGCCTCCTTGTTTTACCGACCACGAATTGTAAAACTCTAACCTGTCAATTTTATTCCCGCCGCCATTTTAGGTTCAGTCAAATCCGGGAGCAAGTCTTTAATCGCGCAGTTTTGTTAAAATTTGAATTATATCATGTGTGGAGGCGAACCAGCCCATGGCTGAAAGCCTCCCTAATAAAGAGAAATTAATTAATTAATTATATCATGACGGAACTGAGAAAGCTCGACAGCGAAATTGAAGAGCTATTTCGTTAGTACCAACAATTATTATTTACTCTTTTTGCAGTTCCTTGATCTCCAACAAATTTTGATTAATAAAATTGATGTTTGCATTATTTGCTTTCACTGTCGATGCGCTGTCCCGGGGTACGTCAAGGGATTAAGTCGTCATATTAATTGGCATATTATAAACGGTGAATTGCACCAGCATTCGTGATTTTATCACTGCATATTCACAACTTTTAATATAACTGGGTAACACGGTACAATAATGAACCAAATAACTGTCTTGTCAGTTAAATTGCAGCAAAATAAACAAAACAAAATACTGGGTTTTCCAGTATACGCAACTCAAACCAATTACTGAATGAACAGTTATTTCTGACAGATTGACTTTACGGACAGTTCGGTAATGCAAATTATTTCTGTGATGATTACTGGGCGATCCGCAATTCAAAAACCCAGTAATATTTTACTGACTCCAGTAATCTAAAGTTAGTGTGCACGCTTGTGGTCCTGATCACTAATAGAACATCCATTATGACCGCATTTCTCCTTCCGTTCGATGCTCAGAGTTTCGTAGTAACGTTTAATCACACGACTCACCGTTGACCGCACGATTCCGAGTTGTTTTCCGATGTCCCGATGAGAGAGTTGAGGATTTTCCAGGTGCTTGCGCAAAATCAATTCGCGACGTTGCTTTTCGGGTGACGCAATTTTTTCCAACTTTCGAAAAACTTACAGCGATAAAAATACAGTGTAAACAACACACTCTAAACTACTTCTACCCAAATTTTCAAGAGTAAATAGCCAATGCGTAATTTTCTACAGCGTTTTTTTCCGTTATGCAATTCGATGTGGGGCACCCTTTATTCCAAGAAAACTGAAATATCGGCAAATATTTTGATATATTCAGCCAAGTTGTCCCACCTCTAGGTTGTACAGAGGTTGTACAGACTCAACTCTTGTCCATAGACAATGGGACACACATAACACCCAGTAGACCAGTAAAGAAATTAACTTGTTTTTTCAAAAGTTCTACAGGCTGGAGCGGCTCACTTACCAATAAACCATTTTTTTTTTCTAAAATGCTCAACTGATTCTCTTCAACTTCTTCTAGGACACAATTTCGATACAATCGAAGATTTTCGAGTTAAGATTTTTTTTTGGAAAAAATTGGTGTGAAATTCGTCTTTTTAAAAGTTGATTAAGTGTGTATAAATATATTCGCCTGTCGATACCCGCAAGTAAGCAGCAATCTGCATTAATGATGTTCAACATCTGTCTTGTAATTTCAATACAATATTCAGACAAATCGAGTTTACAATAGCTTTTAAATATTCATTCATTCACATATTGACAGATTTCCACGCTCTTCATTTGTGGATACCACTATCTGCTCTCAACGATGTCACCCTGTTATCAACGAACAAAATATGTAATCTGTAGAGTCAATATTTGAAAGATCAAAGTTCCTTCAAAAACGCCATAATCTCTTCTATTATTCATACGCTGTGGGTATCGCTAACACCTGTGTTCAATTTAATGAAACGCCTTCTCGGAGTCAATTAGCTAGGGACAAATTACAACGTTGGTACCATATTCGTTTAACCATACATTTTTTTATGGGAAGCTCTTTCTCAACAAGGAGTTCCCCATACTGGTACCGTATTCTGTTTAGCCTGTCATCGGACGACTAAACGACGTTGATATCCAGCTGGTTTTTGTTCTCAGACTAGGTAAATGTGTTCTTGGTTCTTACGACGCGACGCAATATTCGCGTGACAATCGGCAAAATTTACATCAGTGACTGGTGTCATGCTTACTGTATGAGCATGACATTCCACCTTCCATTTAGGAGCAACAGGGGCAACATCGTTTCTACAGCAACAATTGGAAAGGGCCGAAACCATTTGTAAACAATGGTTGGAAATGCAAATTTCTCGAGAATCAAAATACATTGACGCAATTTGATATAGCAAACTTCCTTTATCCGATGAAGAAATTTGGGTTTAAAGCTATTGTTTACAAATGGTTGATGATCCGCCCTTTTCAATTGTTGATACAGGTTTGTAGTCGTTGCCAGTAGGCATCGAGCCTACGGGCGAATTGCGTGAGGAGGTCGAAAGTTAACAGAACGCTACACGATAATACATACTTCGCGTTCACGCTCCTGTCAGTTTGCCGTAAAATCGCTGTTTTCCACGAAAGGTGTTCCCCACCTCGTTCAGTTAGTCAGTCAGTCAGTCAGTCAGTGGGGATAAGCATTGGTTAGTAGGTGAAAGTCTGGGAGAGGGGATTCTTCGTTATTATTTGCGCATGAAACGGTGCGGTACTCTAGAAATTTGGAGCCTTTGGATGCAAACTTTTGGAACAGATTGCGTGACCTGACTAATTGGGTTGCTGCTTCGACGCATATTATAAACTAATTTGATTTTTAGCTTAGTGAAGGAGCACCACGCTGAAAATGAACTCGACACGGATGATTTTTTTTTGCCGACAATTTAGATTTCTGAATAGCCGTACCGTCGGGTACGGGTACGGGTTGAGTTTTGGGTAAATAAACCCGTTCCTGGTGATCTACAGTTAATATATTATATTTTAGCACTCATCACTAACTACGACTCGTGTTGAAAAAATCTTCTTTTTGCAACTTTGGTGCAACTAATTATTTTAGTTTGGTGCTCGAAAACTTTAGAGTGCATTAAAAAAAAATCATTGGTTTGTCATGCTTACCCGAAAGGTAATGTTTCCGTTACAATTAACATCGAACGCTTTGAACACATAGTGTGCATAAAGGCTGGAATCTGAAATGGTATATAATTAGGGAGTGAGAATTAGTTTCTCTTGAATGTGACATTGTTCGAACGGGAGAAATACTTACTTCCATGAGGGAAAAACTTCGCATAAATGTCCTTAAAACTATCTTCGTTCACTACACCGTCAGGGCATTCCTGTGGAATAGAAGATTTGGACATTGTCAGTGTTATATGCCAAGAAAGCTCACGCTTAGCAACTATGAAATTAGTTGTAGTTGAGAACAGTCAAGAAGAGGAGTGATTCCGTCGAAATCATTTATGCCACTAACATATCAAACTTCTCTTTCGTCAGACAGGAACATAACGTTCCCATCCTTCTGTACAGTTTAATTACCAAACTTTCGCAGTTACGAACTATCTTTGCTGTAATTTATGAGACGTAATATATCTGTACATTATTTTCTATACACCCACTATCGGAACGTACCGTTTTGAATCCCCGATACATGACTCGTATCTCCTGGCGGGTGAACTTTGTTAGCTTACAGAGGTCCTCGAGGGCAACGGGAACAGGTTTGGGCGCCCGGGTGGGCTCCAGTTCGTACACGACCTCCTCGATGGGACTGTCCGGTGGGGTTGCCATTTTCGCATTGACTGAATTGTTGGATGCGCTTCAACCTATTCCTACCGTATTTCAGGGAGTTTAATTATCTTTCTACGGAGAAACGGTTCAACTGTGCTATACTGCTGCTGTTAACGCAGGAATACGAAAGGAACGACGCCACGTATGTGTTAACTTTTTAAATGAGGAAGCTCAGCTAATGGCTATGGAAAGTTATTCTTTAATTCCACTACCGCTGTTCGTTGGGCTCCATCAAGCGTTGTGAAGTTTTTGATTTTTGGTGTGGTATGTTTTTGTGTTTGTTGGTTTTTGTGTGTGAGTATTGATTTGAGCTTTCACGTGTTGATGATGTTTTCTTGCTTGATGGTGGTCGATGATGATGGATTGATGGATCTGGAAAGAAGTAGAAACAAGGTATGAACTTTTAGTGTGGATCAGAGTTTTGTTATTCAAAATTTATTGCTGTGGAATGGGTAACGGAGAGTGTAATTTAAAAATGGCATAGGAGGCATTTGGTCATTAGTGATCTAATATTCTATCTTTTAATATACATTAGAGTTAACAATTGATGTTATTGAACAACATAGTTTGTCTTAAATTACTTTACGCAAGATATCAATACCACTTTATGCATTCTTGCCCAACCACAAAAAGTATCATCAAATTGGTTTTCTGTTTGTAAACATTTATAGAAACGATCTGTGAAGATTCTAGATGCTAATACTTGCTAATAATCTGAACCGGTGCATTTCAAGTCATAGATGTTATTCACCGCATCTATCAATATTGCATACACTGATAAATATTAGAATATTCCCATTTTTCTTAAAATTTTATCATTTTGACATTAAACTCAGTTTAATCATATCGAATGATTAAAATTTAATACTCTCTTTCTAAAAAAAAAAATGGCAGTTACTTCAGCAATCCCTATGAAATCCCTGTACTGCATTCAAAAATTCGGTTTTTCGAGTGCTTATTACATGTTTCTTACAAAATGGACATCAAGAAATGTAGTGCCAAGCAAGATGACTACAGAGAGCGGAAGCACGTAATTCAGAAACAAATTCACCGGGAATTGGGAATTCTAGTGGATACGAATTAATTGAAAGGTTTAGTGTTATCTTGAACGCGGCATGTGGCTTTGCCATCGATCCAGTTAGCTTTAAAAAGTACGCTTTAGAAACTGCCCAGCTCTTCAAAGAACTTTATCCATGGCAATACATGCCAGCATCAGGGAAACAAAAATAACAGGTCATTTAGAGAACACCGAACTCGTAAAGTTTCCAGGGAAGCCACTATGACCGATTTGTTTCACAGGCTTTGGATTACCGGTGATATTCTATTTTCATCTTTGTGGAAATACGAACCCAAGGACAAGGAAGAGTTGGGCGAATCAGTAAGTAGTTTGCTTTTATAAGTCTCTTTTGTTTTGTAAAATATAATTAGATTTAATTAATTTTTAAGTTACATTGATTTGTCACATAACCGATACTTATTAAAATTATAAACATAATAAATGATTCTCTCAAACAATAAAGTATCACAAAATAAAGAAATATAATCCTCTTAAAAGACTAAGAAAGAAAAATTTGTGATTAGCAAACTGCAGGAAAAAATTCAAAACTTCATTCAGATTCTGGCCACTTCCTTGGAGGCACCTGGAGCATATCCGGATGTGGCCAATGTGGTTTTGGGCACTCAATATGATTACCACTGATGATTGATTATTGATTATTTGTAAGATCTGGTGTGTGATGTAATGTGGGTTGAACACGGTTTTCGTCATATATGGTTTGAAGGATATTTACAAAAACTTAATCCTATCTAATCCCCTGAACCAGTTGTCCGATTTCAAAAATATTCGATAACATTCTACGGGACCATTGTACTTTTCATTTTTCGGCTGGTGCATTCAATTTGGAGCAGTGATTGTCGAGAAACAAAAACGGTATATATATATACTCTTTCTAAGAAGGGAAAAACATAATGTTCAGCTTTACGGCATATTGAAATGTTAGTTTATAGTGCAAATTTGAATGTTTTTCACAAGAAAAAAATGTTAGTTAAAGAATCCAAGGCCATACGGTTTAACCAACAATCAATACGAAACTAACGATTTTAAATTGACTCACTACTTGACTAGCCTATTGGTCCCAAGCAAATCGATTACGTACCCCATTCTAGTCAAAATTCTAGTACTACACTATGTTTGTTTTGGTTTGCTATGAAAGTTTGACAGATAAAATGAGGGGTTATTCGATTTTCCTATGTTTCGAGGGGTGAATCGATTAGCTTGGGACCGAAGATAGTACCAGAGCTGAGCCAAAAAGTTGAGCACGTTTCTTCGGGACCTACTAGTCTTAGAGTTACCTCTACGGTTTAACCTCGAGTGAAATAATAATTGATGCCAACTATTTTCCTATATGGACCACTGTGCGACGATGCTGACGAGTATCGCAAAACACACAATGAGCAACAATCAATACGAAACTAACGATTTTTAATTGGCTCATTACTTCACTAGCCTATTGGTCCCAAGCAAACGATTAACGTACCCCATTCTAGTCGAAATTCTAGTACTACACAATGTTTGTTTTGATTCGATATGAAAGTTTGACAGATAAAATAAGGGGTTCGTGGATTTTCCTATGTTTCGAGGGGTGAATCGATAAGCTTGGGACCGAAGAGAGTACCAGAGCTGAGCCAAAAAGTTGAGCACGTTTCTTCGGGACCTTCTAGTCTTAGAATTACATCTATGCTATAAGTATGGTTGTTGCCATTCAATTTAAAAGTTGCTGCGAAGCAAATCAATCTTTGGTAAACTGACCCGATTTGCTCAGCTCCATTTTGATAGACAACAACAGGACGGTACCATAGAGGTAACTTTAAGACCAGAAGGTCCCGAAGAAATGTGCTCAACTTTTTGGCTCTGCTCTAGTGCTCTCTTCGGTTCGGCTAATCGATGCACCCCTCGAAACATAGGAAAATCCACGAGCCGCTCATTTTATCTGTCAAACTTTCATAGCGAATCAAAACAAGCATAGTGTAGTACTAGAATTTCGACTAGAATAGGGTACGTTAATCGATTTGCTTGGGATCAATAGGCTAGTCAAGTAGTGTGCCAATTTAAAATTGTTAGTTTCCACCAGTTGACGGTACTCTAAAGTAGGGCACACTAGGAAAGCCATAGGGATGAAACCCAAAGATCAGGAAGCTTTGTCGGCGATACAAGCAACAATCAATACGAAACTAACGATTTTAAATTGGCTCACCACTTTAGTAGCCTATTGGTCCCAAGCAAACGATTAACGTACCCTATTCTAGTTGAAATTCTATTACTACACTATGTTTGTTTTGATTCGCTATGAAAGTTTGACAGATAACATCAGGGGTGTGTGGATTCATGCAGAACATGCAGGGGTGAGTGAAATAGCTTGGGACTGCTTGGGACCGTTGTTCTGGTACTGAGTGAGCCAAAAATAATAATGATTTTCTTCGGGACCCAGTGGTCTTAGAGTTACCTCTATGATACAAGCAATGTGCTGATTGAACGTAAGCTGTGAGTCCAAGACGATACTAAATCTTTTACGTGATTTACTCATTCAAGTAAAACCCCCAGTTTTACTTAATGTCTTGAGCAAAGTTGGTCAGGTGACCAGGTCCTTTTGGATGGTGGTCATATTATTTAAGAACTCTCTCACTACGCGGCGCTAGTGCACACGTGAACTTCCTTAATATGTTATGTCTGGAAAGCTTGTCCATATAAGATGTTGCTGTGCAATGTGAGGACACGAAGCGGAATAGGGATGACGTGTAGAAAGGCTTTAATCTATTTCGGATGCCATTTTAAAATCCAAGATGGCGGTCATTGATTCATGACATATTGTAAAATTCTCTACAATATGGGTATTTCCATATTGTAGGGTATTTGACAGTTTGTCGTGAACCGATGGCCGCCATATTGGTTTTCAAAATGGCATCATTTGCGTAAAATAAATTTCTATACATTTAGGATTTAAACATGTTCAAGATGAGGATTTAAAAATTTCGAAAAATATGAAAAAGTCTGGTTATAATTAGTCATGATGCTGATATTTGAAGAGAAAAAAAAAAGCAATAAAGCATTTATTCAGATTTTTTTTTGACGTAGGACTACGTCTTTGATTTCTATATGGGGGTACACTTTGTAAAAAACGAAAATGGAACATGTAACAAATTAAGAAAGATTTTGAACGTTAATAACTCAGCTGCCCCTGGTCCAATTTCAATAATTGTATCACCAATCGATCAGAAATATGGCTACGCATCGATAACAGTGCTTCCGAATGTTGATTTTCAACAAGAAACTTTTGAAAAACTGGTAAATGTCCAGTATTATCCAAAAGCGTCGAATTAACTAACAAATCCACCAATTACCTACATGTATATGCTGCTTCCCCAGCACAGTCGTCAGAGAGTAGTAAGTAGACGAAACAAGTCGAAGTGGTATTCGGCTCCGATCCTCGGGCGCGTGCGAATAGGGAGGATGGAATTGCGTAATATTTTGCACACTCATCGCCATATTCAGAACCAAACGCAAATTCATCGAGATAACCACCATCCGTCGTCTGGCTCGTGCTGACGGCGGTGTCTGACGTATCTCCTGTCTGATTTACGAGGTGTGCTGAAGGTGTTCTTAAAAAGTGAGATCCGTGATGCTGTCACCTACACTAAACACGCCAAGCGTAAGCGGCCATGGATGTCATCTACGTTTTGAAGTGACAGAGACGCACTCTGTTTGGTTTCGAAGGTTAAATCATCGCCAACCTTGGCAACAAAACGGCTCTTTTCAGGGCCACCAAGCTTATTACCGTAAAAAGTAGGAATAGAATTCATCTGCTGTTTGTCTATATTCAGAACCAACGATCACACAAAATGCTCATGTAACCAAACTGGAAGCAGGACGGCAGTTAACATTCGTGAAGCCGAGTTATTTACGAAAGAGAGTGTCGATGAAGAGAGTTGATCAATGTAGATAGGACCTATTGAAAAGTGACGCGAGATTTGTTTTCCGTACTGAGCTCCAATGCTATCACGCCAGGGAGGCAGATCCCACACCTGGACCCTACCAATCGACCCATCAACTCAACCGGGGACCAACGGCTTTACTTCCCGAAGGAAGGCGTGATCAGAGATGTTATGCTTTAGAACATGCCGGTGGCGCCGACTGAGATTGGACCCAGGCCTGCTGGGGTGAGAGGTAATCACGCTAACCACCGGCGCCGATATCTTTCAAGGTGATATAAAGGCGAATGAGATCGACCCAAATTTGAGTTTAGTTATCTCAGAAATAAGAAATAAAGTGCAGGAATTCAGCGATGAGTAAATTTGCCTCATGGTTTCCCAGGTTT